TGCCCAGATGACTGCTAGGCATTCTTTCTCTGTCGTGCTGTAATTTCGCTCTGCTTTCTTGAGCAAACGGCTTGCGTAAGCTACCGGGAGTTCACCGCTTTCATCCTCCTGAGACAGCACGGCACCAACTGCTACGTTGGATGCATCTGTTGCAAGAACAAAGGGTCGACTAAAGTCTGGCGATCTTAACAGAGGAGCAGAGGTCAATGCCTTTTTCAATATCTCAAAAGCAGACTCCTGTTCCTCTTTCCATTGAAACTTCGAGTCTTTCTTTAAAAGATCTGTTAGAGGTCTAGAAATTTTTGCATATTGGGCTATATGTCTTCGGTAGTAACCCGTTAATCCCAAAAATGCTCGTACATCCCGTTCATTCTTCGGACGTGGGAAGTCTCGAACAGACTCTATTTTTCCAGAATCCGGTCGGATTCCCTCCTCCGAGACCTCGTGTCCCAAAAATTTTATCTGTCTCTTTAAAAAGTGACATTTCCTGGGTTTAAGTTTTAGGCCCGCTGCTGCTAACCTCTGGAAAACTAGTTCTAACCTCTCTAGGTGGGAGGCAAAGTCGGGACTAAACACAAGGATGTCATCCATGTATACTAAGCATATTTTGTTTTTTAATCCACTTAATATTAAATCTGCGCAACGTTGGAATGTGGCACTGGCGTTACAAAGACCCATAGCGAGACGATTGAATTCATAATGCCCCGATGGAGTACTGAACCCAGTTTTCTCTTTTGAATCCGGGCTCAGCGGCAATTGCCAATAACCACTCAATGTGTCCATCGTGGAATAATATTTAGTCTTGCCTAACAGGCTCAATGATTCCTGGATCAACGGTAAGGGGTATGGGTCTATCTTCGTCACTTTATTTAGTTGTCTATAGTCCACCACAAATCGATAACTTGAATCAGATTTCTTGACCAATAATGCCGGTGCTGACCATGGGGAGCTTGAGGGTTCAACTACCCCACTTTCCATCATGTTCTCTATTAATTTATCCATAATTTCTCGCTGTGCATATGGAATGCGATACGGAGCTCTATAGAGTGGGGGACTATCACCTGTATCTATCTTATGCTCGGTCAAATTGCAATATCCCAAGTCAAAATCGTCCTTAGCAAACACCTGTCTGTATTTATACAACAAGTCCAGCAAAGGAGTCAACTTGTCCTTCCCCACTTCACTTAAATCGAATAGATTAGCTACCTGCGCTCTAGTCAGCTCTTTTTCATTGGATTGCAATGCATTGTTTCGTTCTCCCATTTCCTTTGTTTCTTCTTCCGCCTTAAAAAAGGTACCTATCTTATTTCCCCTATTTAATTTTATAGGTTGAGTGGACACATTCATAATCCTAATCGGTATTTTACCGCGATGTTGTGTTTTCACTAAGACACCTGCGATAAACGCTCCTTCTCTATCCAAAGTGTAAGGTTCCACTACGCCTACTTGGTCAACGACTTCTCCTCTCACGTTTCCTTCCACAATGACTTCCGATCGCGGAGGAACTACGCAATCGTTTAACAACGTGACATCACTCCGAGTGTCATCTTTCCTTTTGTTTTTTCTAACTGTTGCTCTGTGGTTTCGAGTTTCTAAACTACTTCTCTGTTTATTTATCTGCGCTCGGTTTCCTTTCCTCTTTCTTTTATATTTGTTACTTTTAGTAAACTTGTTCCGCTCTTCGCTAACTTTGTCTAAACTGGGCGAATTTTCTTCGAACCTACCGCATTGATTCCTTTCCTTCTGTCTATTATCCTGTGTTTCTAATCTATGCGGATTACTAAGGTTGTGATGAAAACTTGCTAATCCCCAGAAGGTTATCTCATCTCCCGTTGGGAATATTAACTTCGCGTTTTTAACGGAAATGGTTATATCATATTTCTCAATTATATCCCTTCCTAAAATTCCCTCATTTGGTTCGGTTATTTTAGGGTCTACCACATAACATTCATGCAAAAACTTTAGATTACCTATTTTAAAATTTAGGATATATTTCCCCATTGTTTCTATCTCATGACCGGTTACGCTTATTAAATCTAAAGCACTCGTTTGCGCTTTCGGCAATTTGCCTAAATCTTGGAAGATCGATCTAGATACTAATGTAACGGCTGCGCCCGTATCTATCGTAAGTCGCGTTCTTTTGTCTTCTATTTCGCAGATTAAGGTGCAAGGCGGTAAATCTCGCGGAGAATCCTCGCTCTTAGATCTACCGATTCCCGCCAACGGGATCGCATCGCATCCCTCGTTTCTTACATATTCTAAATCGCGTGGTTGTTCTCTGATTTTAACCGAAATAACTCTATCGCCGCGATTCCCTTTCGAATTATCTCGATTTCCTTCTCTCTGATAATCTACTTGCTTGAAGCTTCCCTCTGGACTGGGTAAGGCTAAGCATTTGCTGTCGGGGGCGCCGATCGGTGTTCGCTGCGTCGCGTAACTCTCTTCTGGCCAGTGTTGACCGTAACGTGCCGCAAAACAAGGCATTTGATCCCAATTTTGGTCATTTCTTCGTTCTAACGGCCTATACTGAGCCTGGTAAAAAGGTGCACGACCCATATACTGTAAATACGAAAATGGTGCTATCGGGGTCTGTCTCCTTGACACATACGGATCGCACTGATTAAATTCCGGCCATAGCTGATATGGCTGGACGAAAGGCAAGGGTCCTTCCCTGTCTATTTGTCTATTGGGTAAAGGATTCGGTCCGCGGTATTGCCAAAAGGGCGCTTGATTATAATACCTCGCGGGAGTTTGTGTAGCCGATCGCTCCCTCGGCGGTCTATTAAAATTCGTGGGCGGCGGTTGACGCTGCCCGCTCGCATAATTCTGCGCTTTTCCTCTTTCGAAATTGGTTCTTGTGGAGGATTGGGGGTTTCGCCTAAATTGCGTGCATCCCTGCTTTCGCGGGTTACTTATCGGTCCCTTTGAGGACTGATTCTCGATTTGTTTTCCCAACTTTTCAAGTTGCCGCGTAATTTGATTAATTTTCGCGTCAAGCGCGGGTTCCTGGTCTATGTTTTTGTTCTCCCCTTTTGCTGCGTGATTATTCTGCTTTTCCTCTACGCTCGCAACAAAATTCCTGTTCTTCCCTGTCAGCTGTTCGATTGTTTCCTCTCTTATCGCTACCCTCAACGCTTCTGAAAACGTAGCGGGGTCTTGTGCCATAACGTTCCGCTTATGCTTCTCGTTTAGCCCGTATAAAAATTGAACGCGAAGCTTTTCATCCAGCTCCCGTTGCTGACATTGTCTGATGATTGCGCGCTCCTGATCTGTCGTTCCCGCGTGTTCGATCGTCGTGGCGTTGGCTAGAGTTTGTAGCCTGACTGCAAACTCCTGAACATTTTCCTCGCGCCGCTGGACGCAAGCGTGGAATTTCTGCACTCGCATCGAATACGGTACGCGATCGAATCTCTCCACCATTAACCGCTTAAACTCGTCGTATTCCCCGACGCTTTTCATGTGCATGTCTCTCCATGCGAAATCTCTGGCAACGCCTGCCAATTTACATTTTGCAATGCTTAAAGTCTGTCGCTTAGTCCATCCCGCTAGCCCAGCTACTTCATCCAATGTATCGAAAAAGTCGGTGACGCGCCCGCTTTCACCATTGAAGGTGGGAATCATCCCCCCTAACGCCGCGATTGAACCTCCGCCTACCTCCCGCGTTTGCGATGGGGCAGATGGGGCGCCTGTCTCAGTGGCCATGTTCTTACGCACCTTTCTTCCTCACTCCCACAATTTCGTATCGGCTTCCTTGAATTCCTGGCGGACAGTATTACTACTTTTTCCCACCAGTGTAACCTTGGGCACAACAATCCCACTTCAATGACACCACTGTGAGGTCAGCCGATTTGGGGTGAGGTGTTCGACAGCCGAGCGGTTCGTTCTGTCTTGTGGGCGCAGAATGACTCTTTGAGACAGGTTTACCATTTTTAACCCGTTTATTAAATATATAAATTTTCTTACAATGTCTTATAACGAGGCGTAATGCCTATTCAAAGGTGGGAAACGAATCCTTTCCAAAGATAAAAGTCCAAATGTCCAGATAGTCGTTTAGGTTCGTCCAGCGTAAGTGAAGCGGAGAGCGATGGCCCCGGGGCGCACAGCACAACTCTCATCGATGATCTCCAATGACTCGGAGCACCTGGGCGGGTCTTGAAGGGACGGGCTAGCCAAAACGAAGCCTGGGACGTCGAACTAGCCTTTGCTGTAGAATAACAGGAGCACAAAATTCCAGGAGAGGAGCGCTATGAACCAGGAACCTTTTTTCCTCGAGTCGCACGGTTTTATAGATTTCTTAACCGTCGTCGCCTCTCCATTGGTCTCTCATTGTCACCTGGTGACAATTCGAAACCTAATGGAGGGCGCGGGAGAGGTTAACATAGCGACTGAATATGATCCTCTCTCTCGTCGCGTTTTCCTCGAATTTCTCCGTTTCCATTGTTTAACTAATTTTCCGAAAAAAACCAATTGCATTGTTCAATCAAGACACCTAATCCGTTTCCTTAGCGTCTGAAAAGGAGCTTTTTACTTTAAATCGACACCCACAATTCGGACCTCTCAGTCGACCCCTGTTCGGGTCCTCACATAATTACAAATAAACATACTAAAAAATCATGTAAATTGTAACTACCTCAAAATTAAATTGGTTTTGTTATATGATAATTAGTTTAGCTTTTATTTGCATAAAAAGTTGTGTCTTTATATTTATGGGACACAGCTTAATGTTGGGATGCTAATGACAAGACACAATTGTTGTCATTAGCTCTCCAATAAATAACATAATTGTCAATGTTATTTTATAAATACATATTTTCAATCTTAATCTTTTCATAATAAAATTAATATTTCATTCTAAAAAGATTTACAGTTAAAGTAAATAAATATAACTGTGATAATTGATGGCAAAATTGAAAGAATAATAGAAAATAAATTAATAACTTCTCAGTAAGCTTTCACAATATATTTATTTAAAAAGAATGTTCACTTTAAAATTAATAATGCTTTTTTTTTATATTTCAAAAGAATACATTTATATAAATTTATTAACCTCATATTGTTCAGCTGTTCCATTAAAAATTTCAGGTGATTTCTTTTGATTTTGCTTTTGTTCTTTCATCAACAAGTCCATTGGAGGTAAAACTGCCACACCACCAACAGGTTTCTAGTAATAAAGAAAAAATGAAATTTTTTTTTCAGTTAATTTGTTTATTGGATGGAATTTATACATACATGATCCACTTTGCATGCACAGACAAACACAAAAACACTTACAAAATAAATTACTCAAAATGAAACTTCTAATAACTTTTAAATTTATTTTAATGTAACATTAACTGTCATTATGAATATTAAGAACTTTCAAGTACAGATCATCTGAAATTTTTATTTTTAATCATAAAACTTGATAAATTGTTGCAAGAAAACAAATCAGATACTAATTAGAAGTAAAGTGTAAAGTTTATTTTCTTTAAATAACTTGTATAATGTTGTTATAAAGAAATTGTACAGATCTTGAAAACTAGATGAAGATTAACAATGAATGAATATATAGTAGAACATCAATTATCTGAAAATTAACCAAAATGAACTTGAGAAAGTACTAATTCCAGAAATTTCAAAGTTTTTATATAACAACAATTGTCAGCAATCTTCTGTAATTGCACTATTGAGCTATCTCATTATCACTACTACTGTAAGGTTTTATTTATTACAGTAAAAATAGAAAAGCACAATTAATTGTGGCTGTTTGCCATGTTTTAAAATTCTTGTTATATTTCTAAGTATATTTTCTTTGTTTTTGTGTCTCCTCTGTCTTTGGTATTTTTCTTGTCTTTCCTATTCCTGTAGTTATTGGCCAGGCATAGACCTACTACATGTTAAAAAAAAGTCAATGGGATGGAATAGAGAAAGAAGAGTCAAGGAAGAGCAAGTTTGAGTCCATGTAGATTGGGACTTAAGAGCACTCTAGAGTGTGAGAGGTTGAGGATAGAAAGGATTATGAGATTGTTGGCTTTGGCTAGAACAGAAAGAAAAGAAGGGAAAAGAGAGATGCTGCTTTAAAAAACTTGAAATTACCACGGAATTAGAGATCTTCAGGATAAGTTTGTAGAAGCTAGTACAGTGGTACCTCAGGATACGAAATTAATCCGTTCCGAAACTGAGATCGTATCATGAAAATGTCGTAAGGTGGATCATCTTTTCCCATACGATTACATGTAAAACCAAATAATTCGTTCCAACGCGAAAAACATACTCAAATTAAAGCCAAGTAATACATT